AAAATTTGTCCTCCATGAGTGCAACACCTAAGGCGGCGTTCAGAATCAAGGGCTGTTGGCGAAGTAGTTTGTTGGCAATCCGTTTGTCTACGAATCCTTTCATGAACAATTTGGCCAAAGCTTTCTGTTTGTCTGGGGTGTTTATATGGTTTCCATACACTTCGGTGGCTAATTGGTTTAAGCTCTCATAAAAGGACTGCACAGGTTTGCTCGATTTTTGAGTGGTACGGTTCAGTTTTTGTTCCAAAATGTCGGGGTCACGCAGGTTGGAATAAAAACGTCTGAAGAGGTCTTTCATTTGGAGCCACGTGCAGTTGTGCTCTCGGTTGCATAAAAAAAAGGTGTTGCTGTCTCGGTTACGAGACGTCCTGCCGCGGTGAGCGTGATTTTATCGTTGCCATTGCAATCCTGATGAATGCGATCCACGTCATCCATGGTGCAAGTTTCCAGCATTTAAGCCGTCAAAATGTGCACAACCGGTAATGATGGAAGTTATGTTAAAGAGGTCGCACAGATTTGCCAAGTCTTTTGACACATTATGCGACAGCTCTGTCGAATGCAAGAGTTCCTTCGGCAAGGGAATTTCCTGAGGTGCATGTGCCATGGTGTTTTGAGAGGATTGTGAAATGGAACACAGGATAGTCAGCGCCGTACCTTATTGATGAAGTAGCCCGATGTACCGGAGATCACCAGTCCTGGGCCGCGTGCTCGTAGATAGGGGAGATGGAAGGCTGCACGTCGAGCTCGGGTTCGGCGTATTCAAACTGCGTCGTCCTTCCGGTCGTGTTTTCCGAAGTTGCAGCGCTTGCCTGGATGGTAGAGGCGGTTGCAGCGCTTGCCTGATCGGCAGAGGCGGAGATGCTCGTGGCCTTGTAGGTGGCGAGGAGTCGGCGGCTGCGCTCGCTTCTTGTTTCGTTTACAGGTGGGTAGATTGTGCGGTTCGAGGACCGTTCCGCTCCAGTTTCGATAAAGACGGGTGTTCCTCTTCCTATAGCGATGCTTCTGTTTTCCGAATTTTCTTCATCCAGTAACGAGACTTCAGGAGCTTGATAGTTGTGGTGAAAAATAATAGGATTTTGGAGCTGTCTGAGACATGTTGTGCAGCGACGTTGGGCTTTTTGATAATGTTTTTCAATCAGTTTATCGAGGCCTGCTGCGGAGTGATTGGCCAAGGAGAAGCCACAACGGCGTTCGAGGCAAGGAAGGCAGGAGCAACGGTGGTAGGCGTAACAAGAGGTAGTGATATGATCACAGTGACACGTATGACAAATGCCAAACAGTTGGCAAAACTCCCGCTTGTTGGGATCGTGGCAAGAGCACAAATGCTGCCTTTTCTTTCGGTAGTTTTCTGACTATGTGCAATCATAGGCACACAGATTGTCTAGAATGCTGGTCTGGTCAGTTGCAAAACTGTCTTGTAACAGCTTCCAGCAAGTACATGTACCATAGGCCAGAAAATCCAGTTATTTACCCGTTATCCAGCGACTCGAATGGCTTGCGTGGATGGGTATTCGGTGTTGATAATCCGCAGGTTCTTGATCCGGGTCACGGCACCAATGTAACGCTTTGGTCTTGTGGGCACCGTTCTTCCTTTCACCAACATCCATCAGAGAACGGGAGTGAAAAGGTAACTATATTCGGTCAAGGTACCCTTCACGAAGTGCAGCGGCACGACACTGGTCGTCGGGTCGCGTCCGCCTCTCTCTGACCGTCACTCCCCGTCTGACGCTACGCGGGATGCGTCAGGTGATAAACGGTGGGGCCGCTGGGGGGCGCCGTCGTGCGGCCTCCAAGCACTGGGGATGGGGCGTTCTCGAGCATTCGACGTTGTGCAATTCTAATGCGCATTTGAGCCCGCATGAAGCAGCAACAGAGGCGCGCTACGCCGCAACCCTTGCAAAAAGTAACTACGGCTACGGGTACCCACACCCGGCTTATCAAGTGATTATCATACAGAGTAAACAGGGCAATGCGCCTGCGTCAAACGAGGCGTTCTAAGTGCGTTGTTTTCGTTAGCGAGCCGAGCGTCCCGCTGACACATTGACAATTGCGCGGTACCGACGCGTATTCGGTTACGCGTTACACCAAAGCTGCAACCCAGGCCATCGCCGTTCCTGTTTCTGATATTGCGGGCGAACAAGCTCAAACCCTCTGATATTAATTGTTTCACTAATGGATTTAGCAAAAGAATGAACGTTCTCAGGCGTGCACGGGATGGGCTTGTTCGTTTTTTTTTAAAACTCATTTCGACCCACCCTATTCAACAACAATGACACCCTTTTTTCGTTGCACGCAAGGGGCCCATTTGAGAAGAACACTAGGGACACATTATTGTTTCCGGTAAAGGACTGAAGAGCCATTCTGTCCCACCGAGGGGCGTCTTTCGGCTGCCATTCTGGCGACACGGGGCGCCGGACGGCATCTCCTGGTCTATCCGGAAGCCTTCGAGGGATGCATCATGCCACGTCGTTCCCCTTCCTGACACTGGAGGTCTTTTAACCCGCGCTGTTGACTCCGGATAGACGCAGGAGTCCTGATTGACTAAACAACATTCCCAATTGCTGCAGGTGGTCCTATAATTGTCACATGGACTTCAGTGCTGCAAATGTTGAAAGACTTATTGCTCGGTACTTGGTCCCTGGCTGACAAAGGCTCCTTCCATTGGCTCAATGTGAACATTCATCATCATTCATTCATCAAGTTCTCAGGTTTCCTTTCATTTACAAAGGGCCCCGACCAACACAAGAGGCCCTCTAGTGTTCGGGGTTCCGTTCCCGTCCCCATTCATCAAATGTTCACCCGTCAGACTTGAGTCCCTTTGATGACACAGGACACTCGATTAAGCACTGTAGGCCCCTGACCGATACAGGAGCCCGGACTGTTGCAGGAGCCGCGACCAATGTAGATCGCGGCTCGCTTTTGTCTCTGCTAGGAAAATGGGCCCGACAGCTCATACTGGCACGGAGCAGACTGTTGGGTGTTGGTGACCTCTGAGCGAAATTGAAAACCACTGTGTTTCAGGGGTTCCCAATCCGTGCAGGAGGCTCTCTTACTGACATTTGAGATCACGGCCCTACGGACGGGGTTCCTTAATGTGACCTACAGCCAGCCCACTCGGCCCTTCAGCCATCCAATCGGGTCCTTCATGTTTGGTCTCGAGACCTTTTGGCCCCTCTTTGGCCTCCTCAAACACCACTCACAGCTGACTCAAGGTCACTTGTCATCACGTGACCTCTATTAGGCACTGTGGCCCATGACCGACACAAGAACTCCTCACTGTGTCAAGGACCTCGAGCATTGCAAATCGCGAACCCAGGTCTTCATAGCCTGATTTTTTCCAGTGCCTGTCATTCCTGCTTGGGAAATGGGCCTCCTGGGCTCAAATTAACAGCGAGCTAACTGCTCAGTTTCACTGGTCTCTGGCCGACTTAGACAGCCGCATGGTTTCAGGAGGTCTTCAAACGCTCCAAGAAGGCCGTTCACGAATATTTCAGGTCACGGCCTTACGGGCCGGATTATTTATGTGACCCACAACTAGTCCTTCCGGGCCTCATGCACTCAAAGCCCTTAATAAACCTGGATGGTCGGTTCAGGCGGGCCGCCCGAGCCCCTCTTCGGGCCTCATCGAAGACTGCCCTTGGTAGGCTCGGAGCCCTTCGCGAACACTGGACCCTCTATTAGGCGCCCTGTAAACCTCCTGCGGCCCCGGCCAGTGTAGATCACTGGCTCCGGCTTTGAGGCTGATTAGAAAGTGGGCTCTCGGGCCCACACTGACACGAAGCCAACTAGGCGAAACCGGTGGTGCCAGAGATCTCCGATCGGCGCAAATGACCATCTGACTGTTGTTTGAGGACACGTTCCCGCAGGCCGCGGCTCCTCAATAAGGCTTCGATCAACTCTTCGTGCCGTAAGACCCTCCAATCGGGCCCATGATTGCCGGAGCCAGTGGACCTTCCAGGCTCTTCGGGCCTCCTCGAACACTGCCTTCGGCCGAATCGGGGCCACCTGCCAACACAGGCTGTAAGGCCCTGATAGACACTGGGGCCCTGATGGACGCCGGGGCCAATGTAAACCACTGGCTCCAGCTTTATTCCTGTTGCGAAAAAGGCCCTCAGGCCATGCCGCCACGGAACCGACTGTGCGTTACTGTTGGTGTCTGACCGACTTATAGCCCTTTTCAACTCAAGGGGCCTCTGATCAGCGCGCAGGGACCTCTGGCTGGCGTTAGAGTGCCGGCCCTGCGAGCCGGAGCCCTGAATACCACCTCCGGCTGGCCTTTCGGGCCTTAATTGTAGGCCCCGAAGATGGCATGTGCCCTGCGCGTTCCCTCTCTGCCTGCGGTACCGCATTGGACAGGATATCGTCCAAGCGCCATTGAGTGGTAAACGTTTGGTGCCGACCGGCTCCGTGAGCCCAGGGCGTGGGAATATCAACATGTTTTAACCTAACCAACCAACACAGGCCCCATTAGGCGTTGTGGGGCCTTGATTGACACTGAGGCACTGACGGACACTCGGGCTCAGACCAATGTAAATCGCTGGCTCCAGCTCTGTCCCTGTTGCGAATAGGCCCTCACGCTCATGCCGCCACGGAGCCGACTGTGCGTTACTGTTGGTGTCTGACCGACACATAGGCCCTTTTCGACTCGAGGGGCCACTGATCAGCGCGCAGGGACCTCTGCCTGGCATTAGAGTGCCGGCCGTGCGAGCCAGGGCCACTGAATAGGACCTCCGGCCGGCCTTTCGGGCCCTTAATCGTAGGTTCGAGGGGTGGCACACGCCCCTGCGCCTTCCCCCTGCCTGCGGTACTGCATCGGACAGGACATGGACCAGGCGTCATCGAGTGGTAAACGCTTGGTGCTCACCGGCTCCGTGAGCCCAGGGCACGGGAATACCAACATGCTTTGTCAACCGTTTTGTCCCTTCCTTCTTGAACCTGTTGGCGCCAACAAGGGCCAAGGTGCTAGGGTTGGCGCACGAACGACATTTTGTCCACGTGAAGTTCTGCCGCGCTGGCCATCGTGTTATTAGATCACGCTAGTTGCATTGTGTTTGTTAGCCACATATTTCCTGGATATAAGCAACTACATCGAAAATGTCGGCCCCGAAGGTGCACGTTCTTGTGGATGGATATTCTGTTCTAGAGGGTGACGGGAAATCAATGCGAGCAAACTGCACTTGTTCCGTTGTGGAGGGACCTCCACACATTATTGTGGATACCATGACTGCCTGGGATGCAGAAAAGGTACTGCAAGGTAAATACATTGACGTTAAAAAGGCAGCGTAAATATCAAAATTGAACACTGCCCTTGAAGAATATTGGAATGCAAGCAGGTGTGTAATGAGCTAATTTTACAGGTATCTGTGTGATGATCAGTGATGACAGTGCCCCAGTATGCTATAAAACATGCTTTGTGTAACATGTATAGGGTAGCAGCTGATTCCATGCAAAAAATTCAGAATCATTTCATAGTTCTTCCATGAAACTTAACAAGGTATGCCAACATGAAGTGCTTTCTAAGAATTGTAAGCTGTGAATACTTAGTCTTCAAATGCTATTGTGCTTATATCTGCATGGACCAGGTGAAGCTTTGTGCAGGTCTTATATATTGGATACATAAGTGGGTAATGATTTTTATATCAAACTATGTCTGCAAATGGTGAATTCTCAAAAGTTACAGGTCCTATATTAACATGTTCTGTGTGCTTTAGCTTGTTTATGGACATCTTGTGTTTGTGACAGGGTCTCTGGTAAATGTTTTGTACGAGTTTCAATTAATTATGAGCTTTTCATGAACCAGATCACCCCGGCTTTGGGTCTTGCATGGGTTTTGGTTAATGACTAGTAGGTCATAGGCCTCTAAATGTAGGATTCTGAAGAATGTGGAGTATGGCCAATGTTGTGCGCTTCATAACTGTTTTTGTGATTACCAGCAAGTTAGGCTTGTGTAGCAAGTGGAATTTTATTCTGGAATATGGATGATGATCATTGATGATGGGCATGAAGGATAGTTATTAAGGGTAAGCCTGAGCCCAATGATTACAGATTCTTGGTGCAGGTATCCTTCAATACCTTGCTTACCCACACTTAATAGTGATATCTTATTGATGGTCCCTGAGGCAAGCAGTGGCTGAAATAAGCTATGACCTGTGATGATAGAAAACACCCTTGATGTACCTGTTTTCTCTCAGGGCTATGATCATCTGATATTGAGGAGCAATGCATGTCACGTGACGACACTGTCGGCAGGCCTGTCGTCACTCGGTCTCCAGCCAGAAGACATAAGCTATGCTGTCGCCACACACGGACACTGCGATCATGTGGGCAACCTGAACCTGTTCCAGGCAGCCACCCATGTGGTGGGCACGTGCGTCTCCCGGCGGGACGTCTTTACGCTGCACGACTTTGATTCTGGTGGGACTGTGGTGGCCATCCATCCACCATCTTGGATAAAGGCACTGATGCTAAATTCAGACACAGACTACGTTGCTAACAGTTTCCTTTGTTTCATGTCCTCCAAAGCCGTCAAACCATGCAACAGTCGGTGGCACCTGTGGCAAACCCAGCATTGCTCCCCTGGTTTGTGACGCCTCTGCGCCCGTCCGCAGAGCCGTACAAGCTGTCCGAGTTTGTGGACGTGATCGCGACGCCGGGCCACACCAGCGAGGACGTCAGCGTGCGCGTGCGGAGCCGCCACCAGGGCCTGGTCATCATCGCCGGTACAGCGTGCGGCACCGCGGGCGGCGTCCGCCAGCTGCCGTGAGGGCGGCGCCGGCCCGCGCCACTGGCACAGTGGTCCCATCGCGGGGCACTGTTGGCACGGCTGTGTCACGGCATTCGAGACGACTGCACGCCTCCGGCTGTACGCTAACAGGTCCACGTCATAGCCCCATCAGGCAGCGGCATGAGGCGGGTTTTGGAGTCGCGAAGTCGCCATTTTCGGCTTTGGGTCATTTTCGACGGTTGAACGGCCTCGACCTTGTTTCATTTCAAACGGCAGGCTTTGGCTTTGTGTCGTTTTTAGAGATGGCTTTGGCTTCGGCTGAAAATTTATTTTTATGAGGACTGCAATTTCGATTGCATGCGATCTTGAGCTGGTGGCTTCTGCCTTCTCATGGTGGTTTGTTTGCTGCAGTCGCAACGTTGCCTAAAAAAGACTGCTGCCGTCAAAACACTGCGATATGCGATACAGTTTGTCGAAGCTTCGACGTGTACATGGTCGGAGACCCCCACATACCCGGCCATTCCAGGACCAATGAACGTCTGACGATGGCAGGGGAGCGAACTGTCCGATGAGTTGTGCACAGACTGACACGCCAGACGAGAACGACGTTTCTAGGAATATCGTCGGTAATGCTAACGAAACCGCCAACTCGGTTTGCAGAGTCTTTCCATGACATTGTCCGATTCCATCCAGTTTTAGCCAACTGCGAAAAGAGTTTAATATTCCCAAAACACTGCGGGAGTGGTTGAATTTTCCTACAACAACGCTGTGCACTTGACTCCGCTTCGGCTTCGGCCTCGTAATTTTAAATTGTTGGTCCGCTTTAGCTTTCCGTTTTCTAAAATCAAAAGCGCTGAGCCCGACTTTGGCCCCATGTGTGCAGAGTTCAAATCCATGCCCTTGCCTTAGCTTTGGATTTGACTTCGAAGCCCGAAGTCCGGATTTATTTCGATGCCTGTGTTCCACGCACGTGCTTTGACGTATCGTCACGGCAGACGGCACGACTTCCGTTCATGCATTTGCACTTGCTCACTTCCTGAACGCGTCTAGCGGGGCGGGCGTTTGATGTCCTCGTCATTGAAGCTTTACGGCGCACACGGTCTCAGCTGCTTAGACTATCCGGCGTCACCTGCCTCTCACCCTGGCAAGAAGGGGCGTGTTATAGGTGTCAGGGGCGTAAGGGCATCAGACGTTAATGAATGAGGCATCGGTCAACGTACGTAGTCAATTGTTCCCCTCCATTTGATATATTTCTCCTATTGTCTTGTGATCCAAATTGATGCACGTGGGACCTTTCTCTAATTTCAGCATGTTAGCACCGAAAATGTATCCTCATACGACTTATATAAGGAGTGGGCCCGAGTGGGCCCGGCGGGTGACCTCCTTAAGGAGGCCCTGGATGGTCCCAGCGGCTGACCCCTCTAAGGAGGTCCTGGTTGGTCCCGGCGGGTGACCCCTTTAAGGAGGCTCTGGAGGGTCCCAGCGGGTGACTTCCTTAAGGAGGCCCTGGTTGGCCCCCGCGGATGACCTTAGAGAGGCCCTGAATGGCCCCAGCGGGTGATCCCTTTTGACAAACCTGTTTGGCTGGTATTGGACTCTGCGACCCGACACTCTGCGACCACGTTCGCGTCTCACCCGAGCGGAAGTGCCACCTATGACATTGCTGTGACCGATGTAGACTGTTGGATTAGGAGGGTCAGTGTGACCCCAGTTTATAACCGATGCGGCCTTATGTTCGAGCATTGCGAGCGTGACTCCTGACCTTGGAACTCCACCCTCTCTGCGGTGTGGTGAGAAAGCCAACACCCCCTCAGTCTGCGGCCTCAGGTGACCCGTGCAGCCCCAGTCTGAGGCCTCAGGTGATCCGTGCGGCCCCAGTCTGTGGCCTCAAGTGATCCGTGCAGCCCCAGTCTGTGGCCTCAGGTGATCCGTGCAGCCCCAGTCTGTGGCCTCAGGTGACCCGTGCAGCCCCAGTCTGAGGCCTGAGGTGATCCGTGCGGCCCCAGTGTGTGGCCTCAGGTGATCCGTGCAGCCCCAGTCTGAGGCCTCAGATGATTCGTGTGGCCCCAGTATGTGGCCTCAGGTGACCCGGGCGTTCCCAGTGTGTAGCCTCAGGTGACCGTTGCGGCCCCAGTCTGTGGCCTCAGGTGGCCATTGCGGCCCCAGTGTGTAGCCTCAGGTGACCGTTGCGGCCCCAGTCTGTGGCCTCAGGTGGCCGTGTGAGCGGACCCGGCCCCTGTGTAGCCTCAGGTGACCGTTGCGGCCCCAGTTGTGGCCTCAGGTGACCGTTGCGGCCCCATGTGCCTCAGGTGTGTGCGGCTCATGTCTCAGGTGACCGTTGCGGCCCAAGTCTGGGCTCGTTGCTGCATGTGTAGCCGCATGTGACGTTGCGGCCCAGTCTGTGCCTCAGGTGCCGTTGCGGCCCATCTGTGGCCAGTTGCGGCCCCAGTCTTTGGCCTCAGGTGACCGTTTTCTGCCCAGTATTTGACCTCAGGTGACCCTTGCGGCGCCCCGGTCTAGTTACTGCACGGCCCTCATTAGTAACCTCCCGGTGGCCGACGTGAGCCCACAGATGCCATAGCGTGACCCGGGCCACGTGACTGCAGGCGACCGGTTTGAGCGGGAGGAAGACATACGCCGGACCCGAGCCTGTGCCGGTGGCCGGCCGGCAGTCAGGACCCGGACCGCCAGATGGCGAACCGGCGCCGCGTGCTGGCCGAGGCCGACCTCGTGGTGCCGGGACACGGCCCGATGTTCGCCGTCACAGCCGAGCACCGCAGGCTGGAGAGCGAGCGCTAGCGCCGCGTGACCCTGGCCCCGAACCAGCGCCAGATGTGAGGAGAGCGTAAGGTGAGGCCTCATGTCCCCCGTGAAAGAGCGCAGGAGGCAGTGATGTGATGCATTTTGAAAAAGGCGTGGGAGGTAACCGTGTACTTATGCGTGTTGGGCTTTGTTGGCGTTCGTGGTAGCATGCTAAGATAGCTGGGGCAGCGTGATGGTTTGCTTGTCCTAAGTTGTGCTAAAGTGGTGCAAAAATGGATACGGTGGATGCCGGCCGGGCGTTTTTCGCTTGTGTTGTTCATGATGTTAATGTATTCGTGTTTGCAAGGCGATAACCACAGCAGCAGAATCGAAAAGTGTGTGAAGGAACGTAACATTGTGTATACTAGGATGTGAAAGGAAATAAATATCAAGCAAAAAAACAACAAAGAACTACGTTAGGTGGTTTGACCGAGTCAACCGGAACCGTGCAATTATTGGCTTGATCCCCCCAGTATTGATTTTGCAGGAATTTTCGCGGGCCTTTGCTTCTTGTTGCCTCACCGACACTGTCTGTTTGTGTCATGTCATTGGGGCTTTACAACGCACTCAGCTGCTGAGGCTATATGGCGTCGCCTGCCTCCCACCCTGGCGGGAAGGGCGGGCACCGCGGGGAATCGAACCCCGTACCTCTGGTTTCCTAGGCGTGCAGTGGTTAACGCATACGCGTTAGCCACCACACTACCGGCACTCCTACATTGCCTGTTTAGTCGCAGGATTTTCAGCCAACTGGAAGCGTGCTCTTGTAACGGCTTGACGGACAGGGGAGAATGAAGCCAGTGCGTCGACCTGGCGGCCCATTTCCAAACTACCCCTTACGCGGGAAAAAGGCTTGAACTACTCACCATCTCCATGTCACCGTTCGTTTAGACCAGAATCACCTGTTTTTGTTTTGTTCTTGTTTGTTCTAGCACGGCTGCAGACGTCATCCAACCGTGTCTGCCTTCATTATGCTGACGGACCGCGCGCGACGTGCGGTGAACTCTGGCGACATAGTCATGCGGGTGTTCCTGATTCGTTCAAAATGTAGTAAGCCACGGAGAATGACTCAACAAGCCAGCTTTGTACAACGTGGACAGTCCTTGGCTATACAGCGATTCTGACCGACATAACCGATCAGAGCAGCTCGGAGGACGGAGTGAAACCCTAACCGGCATCACTGCCAGACAACTGGCGTCTGTCGAGCTGGAGACCCGAGCTGTTCATTGTGTTCTATTTAATCGAACGAGATGAATTGGAATACCTGGAATTCCAATGGCTCCGTTTGCCGACGATAGCTGACGGCCTGTTGCAGCCTAAAAAGGCAGGTGACGGATATCCGTACTCACAGGATAATAGACATTTGCGGGCATTACCACCGGCCGTTCAGAAAAGCACCGCTCGATAGATACGACGGACGAGAAGCATGGCCAACACCAAGAAGCGGAGGCTCGGCCACAAGGCTGCAGTGTTTTTGTTCCCTGCTCACCGTCATGCAGAACATCACCCACGCGCTTCGAGGCATGCCTGAGTCATCTGCTCCGGGCTGATCAGCTAAGGATGTTACTGCGCAGATTTGTGCGTTGTTAAATAGGTTGATCGCCAGGCTGTCTCCTTATGCACGGTTTCTTTTTCTATGTGCTCATGATGGCCTCATGAGCCGTGAAATCCGTGATGTGCCCAGCATTTCAGCTGAACATCTCACTGGGACGCTCCACAGCAGGCGGTTCAAGCACCATGCCCGCGCGTTCCACTCCAGTGACGTCGGGGTTCGCAGGTGTACGCGAGGGTTATCAACACCTGTGCCGCGGTGAACACGCGTCGGCGGAGAAAAGGGGTGCGTGGAGTGGTAATGGTTACGTTTTATGCATAAGGTAACAATATATTTTCTGACAAGATTGTGAACAGGTAATCAAAACGATATTGCATAGCGATAACAGGAGACCGCATCATAAAGCGGGTCGGTTACGAGGCACTTGATTCGCCGCCGCCCCTCGCAGCGATCCTCCGCCACACATCTGATCAGGCACGGGCTCTCCGCCGGGGTCCGACGACACGTCTGAAACGTCGCCGCGCCGCGCCAACTGCGGCGCGGGCGGCGCCACCCTTACCGCGGCCCACCCGAATACGGGCCAAGACGCGGCGGCTGGCGCGCGAGTATTGCGGCCGCCGCCGGGCGGCGGCTGGGCTAGATGGGCGCCACGTCACGACCGGTTGGTGAGCGTGTGGAAGGCGGCGCCCAGCGCCCAGCTCGTCTCGTGGTCGTCGATCTTCTTGTGCAATTGGAGCCGGTGGTCACCGGGTAGGCCGAGCCCGGCGTGCAGCAGAGCGGCGATGTAGGCCAGGTCCAGACAGGCGAGCGGCTGCTCCACGTTGGCCGTCTCGCAGACGTGACGCGCCGCGCGCATCAGCTGTTCGACAGTGACCACGCCGCCGTCGAACGGGTCGATCAGGCCCGCCTCTGTCGCCCGGTCAAAGTAGTAGCTGATGGCGTACACCTGCCGCAGAGGAGGGGGGTAGGGGTCAGGCCCACTTCTGGGCTCCTCGGTGTGACGTGATGGTGCGGTACGTCACGCCACCATGATCAGCTTCCGACTCCACGGATCATCGCGCTGCCCTCCGCCAAGGTCACACCCAGACTAAGGATGCCTCGGTGTTTCCGTATATGTGAGCATGCCCCAATGTGTCGGCTATCCTGCCACCTCGTATTCATAACCAGCGAACTCTGACCGCAACTGTGAACGGCTTAAAGCCCACAGCACTGCTTCACGAGGTGACGCAGCGCCCATTTTCAGAGTTGGTTGTCCGCCCTGAACCAGTGCGGAAAAGCACGCAAGCTCCGCTTCCGGTTTCGGGCGGTAGGTGGCCGGACGGCCGGCTGGAACTGGCGCCAGCCACGGCCGGTCGCGGCGTCTGCGCGGGCGTCAGCCGAGGCCGTGTGTCTCGCCCGCACTATTTGCGGCGGAAAACCGTCGTTTGTGACCGAGCCAAGCGCCATGCGTCTGGCACCATTAACATGTTTCCGCAAACCGACCTAGAGCGGGACGAAACTGGAAGCTGGCAGCCAGCAGCAGCTGGGCAGCTGGGCCGAGGAACCATGATGCGCTAATGCAGCCTTTGCGATTTTCTAAGAAACACGTTAGCGGACACCGCACAGCGAGACGTATACCACGAACCACTCCTTACGAGATACACATAACAGCCGCGTACTTGTTTTTCCCGCTTTTAAGCACCAACGCCAAAGATAGCTACTTTCTGCCTACGAGGGGTATAACCGCCAACACGTCAAGCGACCGTAGAAAGCAATCATGGAGACATTCAAACCAGTCACTGAATGCAAGTTCAACGTTCACTACAGCGCACATCACATATTTAATGATTGTTTGACGCCTTTTAACTCGCACCTCGTGACACAATGACGGCCGGTTATCTTCGGCGGGGGCAGCCAGCGCCCTGCGCGAGGCAGGCTCCGGCGGGCGCCGCTCGGTGGCACTCGAGCCGCCAAGGTTGCGAGTCGGCGCGGCGCACGGGCGGCCGCGCCAGTCAGCATGACGCGCGACAATTGCCGGCCGCCGCCCTGAGCGGTGTTCCGTCCCAGCCGGCGGCCGGCTGCGCTGCCCGCCAGCGGATCGCCCCCCCCCCCCCGCCCTCCCCTGCCCAGCGGCCCGATTACAGGCGCCTGAGCATCGGAACCAAATACATCGCGGGTGAAATGCATCACTTGCGCTTTCCCGGAAAACGGCCTGCGTGCTGATCAGGCTTGCCGAAGGCGCGCATGCTCGCGCCCTTTCCTGTCTCTGTATTGTAGAAATTTGGCGCAGGTAAGGACAGGGGCAGAGGAAGGTGAGCATTTTACGAGACTATAAGAGACTTTGTACTGAACTATCATATTCAGCGTCTTCATAGTCAGTTTTTGCCAGGGCAACAGCTACACGGTTTTAATCAAATCATGCCATGGTAAACCTAAAGCCATGGTTGATGTTTCCCCAAGTGGTCGAAAATGTGCGCCTCATTGCGGCTAGTTGTGACGCGTGGGGGCCTACTCAAGCCGCGTCCTACCCTGAGAAAATTCAAGATACTCCTAGAACGGCGACATGTTCTGGCCGGATGGCACAGAGAACGAATGTTATTTTCTTACGCTAGTGAGCTCACTCTTACAACTTTCTCCACGGGAATCGCCAAGGTCTATTTTGATCCGGTATCCCGCGGCGTCCAGCAGTGCATGGTCCACCAAGTGCCGGTACACTATGACATCCAGGTGTCACCAGCCCGGATCGACCCAAGAACGGCTGGTGCCGACTGGTTCCGCGCGTTTCTAAGGTGGCGTCCGGCTCTGTCTCTGATGCTGCCGAAGACGCATGTCCAGGCCGAGCGCCACCGCTCAACAGAGGCACTGTGTCGCTGCTCTTCGCCAGCCTGACTGATGCTACGCAGCGATCCGCATCTGAGCACGGCCAAGTCTGGAGCACAGATCAACAGCCGTGGCCACGGCGTAGAAGCCGCGTAACCTCGGCTGACCAAAGACCGGAATAGGCTGATGCCAAGACCTCAGCGGAATGTGGCCAGTTCCCAGCGCGCGTGCGGCGGTGGGCACCGCCCGTGACGCCACCCCGCCCATGTCTGTATTCCCGAGGATCGCTCCCTCCGCGGCGGCCCGACAGGCTGCGTCCCGACCCTCCGCGGCGGCGGCCGCACAGGCTGCGTCCCGACACTCCGCGGCGGCCCGCCCGACTGCGTCCCGGCACTCCGCTGCGGCGGCCCGCCCGGCTGCGTCCCGACACTCCGCGGCGGCGGCCCGCCCGGCTGCGTCTCAACCTTCCGCGGCGGCCCGCCCGGCTGCGTCTCAACCCTCCGCGGCGACCCGCCCGGCTGCGTCCCAACCCTCCGCGGCGACCCGCCTGGCTGCGTCCCGACCACAAACAAAAGAGAATGGATAGCCCGACAAAACTTCGCAGTAGCCCCTGGCTACTGGCACCTTGCCCGATGCGTAAGGCCCTGCAAAGAGAATCCCGTGCTCCTGGTCCTCAACAACCACAGCTCGTACTTGGGTATTTGAGCTTTGGACTATGTAAAATGCAAAAATTGTGCATTTAGTGCCGGTCTCCCTCATTCCTGATATGTACGCATAGAAAGTTCTCAGACTGGCCGCGCTCTGGCGTGCAACGGTCCCTGTCGACTGACTGAGCGGTCAGGAAAGCTTTCTGAAAACGCGAACAGCGAGAGGTGCAAGACGATAGCTTCTTTTCGCAACGTTCGGATATAAATATCACCATTTCCCACCATACCATGCCACCACTGTCCCATGGATACGAAGGAGGGGCAGGCTGTCATCGATCGTCCGTCACGAAACCCTCGGATTCTTGGGCGGACACTGACGGATTCCTCGCTCAGTCGCAGTCGAATTAGTCGACATAACAAAACGTGACGGATGGCCTCAGAGTGGTGCCAGCTGAGACCATCTGTCACGTCTCCTCTCGGCAGGGGGACCTGTGACACGTGCCGGCGGCGACAGGTGCCGAGGCACGGCGGGCCGCGGAGCTGGCTCACCGCGCCCTGGTCACAGCAGCCGATCGAAACGCAACCTCACAGGCCACCACCGAGCCCTGCAGGCTAGCGCCCATGAGGTTCACTGATAGCGGTCTTGTGTGAGCTCATCTTATATGGGGTGCACTGATAACAGCCGTATGCGAGTGCGTATCATCCTCAGTGCGCTCACCGCCTCTGGGGCGAGTTCCGTACATGCTGTGGCAGCCTCCTTTGGAAGCCAAGGATAATGCCCGGAGAGAAGGAGGCGGGGTGGGGCCGTGGCACACTTCTGTTTCGGAGCACTGTGACGGAGCGACCTACCCTATCTCACGGAGCTCTGTGGCGTACGCATTTCTTCCAGGTTTTTGTTCCTGCACATATCCGTGACATACCTTCCAGTTCCGAAGTTTTGCAACGCACTTCTCGTGAACTACCTCCCTTCCAGAGCTCAGTGATATAGCCCTGCCACGGAGCTCCGTCTTTCATCTTCGTGTTTGTGAGCTCTGATCGTACTTACCTGCTCCCAGGCTCTATCGGCGTGCCTGCCTGTTCCGCAGGTATGCAGCGAACCTTCGTCTACAAGCTCTATGAGCTGTGACGTACCTCTTCACGAGCTGTGACGTGCCTCTCTGTAACAGAGCTCTACGAGCTGCGGCTTACCTTTGTGTTGCTCGGCTCTACGAGCTGTGACGCACGTCTCTGTACCAGAGCTTTACGACTTAGGACGTACCGCTCTGTACCAGAGCTCTAGGAGCTGTGACGTGCCTCTGCCACGGAGCTCTAAGAGCTGCGACGTACCTCTCTACCAGAGTTCTACGAGCTGTGGCGTACCTCGCTGTTGCGGAGCTCCACAAGCTGTGACGTACCTCTCTGTTGCGGAGCTCCTCGGGCGCGTGCACCTGGCCGCTCAGGAAGCGCACAGCTGACTGGTAGCACTGGACAAAGTCCACGATCGGCTCCGTCTTGTCGAGCAGGCCGCTGATGCCCTTCACAAACTTGTAATTTTTCTTCGTCTCCACCCCGCTGCGGGCGGCGGGACGAGGGGTTACTGCACAGGCGTCTGACGTATATCGAGGGCATGCTCCGGTGAGCCGGACCGCTTTGGCCTAGGGCTCGGCCATGCTGACGCTCCGTGTCGGCATGGCCGGGTCCGGTCCTGGTGGGGCCACAAAGGAGGTCAGGCCTCAAACCCCACCAGACGGGCCCGGCGCGTCAGACGCACCAGACCCGACTGTGTAGTCCAGTATCGGCCAACAGTCCAATAACGAGATTCACGCATCCGCACACACGTAGTAACACCATCACACAACAATGACTTCAGTCATAAAGGGCGAACCCATCAGTGGCAGTCACCTCGTGACAGTTTCAGTTAATGTGATCGCCTCACCCCCTTCCCCCTCATTTGTCCTTCTCGTGAAGAGGGAACCTACCCGATCCGGGTGGCGGTGGCGACGTGTTTTGACATCTATCCGCGTTTACTGTATACAGGCACATCCACGCGGTGGTTGCTCTGCACCTATTCGTCCAAGAAAACCACAGACACAGTACTCAGAGATACACATATACGCACAGGTGAGAGCAGCTGCTGTGAGTGAGACGCCGATTTAAACCAGTCAGGAACGTCCACGCGAGGGGGCGCGGACGGCCGCCGCAGGCAGCCGGTTACGCAGCTGCGGCGCGGCACGACAAATGCCGCTGGGTGGCCGTTCGGACGCGCGGCAGATGTAGCGAGCCGACACCGCCCAACATAAGCCGAGTGTAACGTTGGGAAGGCTCGGCGCGCGTCACGAATAGAGCACACAATGTACTGGCGGATTCGGGGACGTCCAGTGCCCTGTACACATTCAGGTAGTTCCGGTGGTGCACAAGGTGCGCGACGCTACACCAGCCGAGTACTTCCAGAACTGGTGAAATGTGATCGCTGCAGCGGACACCACTCACAAGCTTGGTTGCAAAATGCATCACCCTTCGCATCCTGTCTAGGTGGGCTCAGCCGCTCCATCCCAGATGGACAGGTGGTGAGTAGGACGTGAATTTCGACAAGGAGCTCCCGGACCTAAGGAGTGAAGTGGTGTAGAATTTTGAACAGCGACACGAGGACTGCATCACAGCGCCGAGCGAGAGAGGAGATGTGGGGCTCCCAGGTGAGGTGGTGGTCGAGGAACACACCCAGCACCTTCACTTAAGATGATAGATGAATGTCTGTACCAGAGGCGGTACTGTGACAGTTGCCGGTGCTTGTGATGGAGGGTTTGGCGCCCGCGGCGCCATAACTACATAATTTTAATGAATCACTGGCAGGAAGAAAAACATACAAAACAGATGCCTGTCTGGGCAGGAGGACTGCAACCTAGACAGCAGGCCTGAACAACGGATGGAAACTGAACCCAGTGTCCCTCTGCCATCCCTGCCGTCCTCATAATTGGCGTCATCACTGGATGCTTGGACAGGAGCTTACGATCCTGCACGCAGCAAATTGTTGAGAGATGTCCTGTTTGGATGGCTTGAATGCCATTGAGTAGTCTGACAGTGCGCCAGTCAGAGGCCGTTATACTAGACAAGCTCAGATTATGCCCTCTTTGCGGCCTTGAACAAGTGTTATCTGTTGAAGTGGCAGCACGCCGGCTGGCCATAACATATATCCCAGTGGAAAATGACAGTGAAAAAGCCGATGCCAGAAGATTAAGATCGCACGAAGCTGAACCTGGAGTCATCCTGAAAAAGTCAAGCAGAAGCCGATGCCGAACAAAGTCTGAAGAATGACACTGAGCCAAAGCCGAAGCCAAAGCCAACCATGTAAAAGGACACGAAGCCGAAGCCGGATCCAGCCACGGAAAATGGCTTAATGCCGGAGTCCAACACGAAGACATTGGGAGAGAACCGCGGCTTCGCAAAGTCGATGCTGACGCCGAACCCAAGCTCGGCTTCGCCCCATGTCTGTAACCCTGGTACCGGATTGTCCGGGTTCCCGTCCCCTTTGCTACCGGATGAAAACATTTAAGTACACCAGAACAAATAATACATGGCTCTTGAGCCGTTGGCACTTTTTGTGATTGTAAGCATTTCAGACGAGCTGAGGCAACCCGTGGCGCCATGGGTCCGGTGACATTCAATTCAACGATCCCTGGGTGAGAATGACCAGTCGGTAATTATCTTTTCAGAATATCCCATCCGTCAATAAGACCACGTGGGAGGGGTGTCTTTACCCCAGACAGGCGCGATGAGCGAAAGATCACGGACAGCACAGGGTAAACCAACACTGAATGATTTATGGCCTGGTAATTAGTGTGCACTTAGCGAGACGTATCCATCATTATCTGGCCCTAGCCTTTAGAACCTGCTGAGTCATGTATCCCCGGGATCAGGCTACTCCCGGCGACTGTAACGGCTGCCTTCCGCCCGAAGTGAACCATCGCTGAGCAGAGCGAGGAGGAGACTGCCGAGGCTCTCCGGCCCAGCTCCGGCCTCAGCCGACCGTTCGTACGCGGCTGGCCGGCCGGTGGCGCCTGGCGCCGCGCCACACCCATTTGTTGAGGCGCGCCATCCGCCGACGGCGGGACACACACAGCAAGCCGGGGAGGGGCCGGCACGTCTAAATCTGCTGACGGCCGGCCGCCGCCACTCACAGCGGGACACACGGCGAGCCGGGAGGGGAGGGCGGTCCACCCCGTCTGTGACAGCGCTGAAGGCCCGCTGACGGCCGTCGCCGGGCGGCGATAGGGCCATCTCCGGTGGACGTGATGATGGCGGCGACGTCAACCTCGCCAGCGATGATGGCGGCGGCGTTAGGTTCGCCAGCGATGATGGCGGTGACGTTAAGCTCGCCAGCGACGGCGTCTCACCTCGACAGGCTGAGCCAGTGTGGCACCGACGCTGACCACCCGCCAGCTACACGACCACCTCCGGATTTGATCACGCTCTGGCACGCTGAGACGCTCGCCCCGAACGAGCCACACATCCTCAGGCGAGATAAGAGTGCGCGGGGTGTCGTCGCCGGCTAAAGCAGGCGCCGAGTGGTCGGCATCCCGTGCCGCCCACATCACCTGATGTTGGTCGTGATGCCGCCCACATCACCTGATGTTGTACGTGTTGCCTCCCACATCACCTGATGTTGTACGTGTTGCCGCCCACATCACCTGATGTGCGTGTTGCCGCCCACATCACATGATGTTGTACGTTTTGCCACCCACATCACCTGATGTACGTGTTGACGCCCACATCACCTGATGTTGTACGTGTTGCCACCCACATCACCTGATGTGCGTGTTGCCGCCCACATTACCTGATGTTGTACGTCTTGCCGGCGTAGCTCCACGTGGTGGCGACGATGGGGTTGACGCAGTCGCTGACGACGGAGCGCTGCTCCCTGGGCAGGCCGGCCGTCAGCAGGCTGTGCCGCGCCGCCATCAGGCCCACGCCCAGGTAACTGTCGACGCGTCACAGTGTGACACACTGCCGTCACGCGCGCACGCACACGCCCGCGCGCGCGCACGCACGCACGCACGCACGCACGCACGCACGCACGCACGCACGCACGCACGCACACACACGCACGCACGCACACACACCACCCACGCACGCACGCACGCACGCACGCACGCACGCACGCACGCACGCACGCACGCACGCACGTCTTTGCGATCTCAAAACATCACACGTTACGCGATGACGCGTCGCCTGGAACCCGCGCCCAGAGCCCGTCAGCAGGTCACATTGTGACGGCTTGATGTCGCATCACAGCACGGCAGACTCCCAGAGTCTGATGAAACTCAAGCGTTGTGTTGCACTTACATATGACACCACTGAGACTGGCAAGGTTAATGGTGTCCCCCGATAGCAGTTGACGTCAAAAATGACCTGCTTTTGAATAAATAATACTGTAATATAACACAAAATGCTCGGAAGGAACAATGGTGATAACTGTCATTAATCTTACCAAAAAATAATAAAGTGAACAACTGTACAATAAATATGCATCGAGCAGCGTTGTATAAAATGCGATCAGGCGTACAAGATGCTCACCTCATTCCACATGTACTTTATTTACGTCGTGGAGAACATGCCCGTGCTCAGAGAAGCCGCATTTTTGCACACCGTCTCAGCAGTTATGGCAATTCTATTCCGAGCTACTTCATGCACCAATACGATCTATTGAACCATAAAAGTAAAGCCATGACTGTATTCTTCAAACTATCCGTTTGCAGTATGATTACTCGGCTATACGAGGACGTAGACTACCAAGACAAGTTCCCAAGAAGCCCAAGCAACATGACGACTGCATGCCAAACCAGCCTGTCAGGGCCACTTGCAAGCTGCGCTCATACTGATTACGGCGCGTCCGCAACGCCGCAGACCGGGGTGGATGTTGCTTTTGGGGTCAGGTCAGGACGCTCTGGTGGCCCAGCCGGCCACCCGCTGGACACGGGCCCGGTCAGCGGCACACTAACTCCGCGTCGAGGGTTAGTGTGCCGGGCGCCGGACCCGCCCTGGCCGACCGTTCTGGGCCAGCGGCGCCGGCGGCGACGGGTCTCCTGTACCGCAACGACGCGCGGTGCCGGGTGGCACCCACACACCAGTAGCCGGTCCGGAGATGCCTCTGCCCATGTCTGCGCCGTGAGCGGCACGTGCGCGCCGGTACATGGCGATGCCGGCGGCGACCTGGCCGTCCGGCACGTGACGAGTGGACCGGCGCCCCGCCCCTGGCGTGTGCGGCGGCGGCGGCAGTCCGTCTAAAAACAGCCGGCCGCCGCCCATTGTCCGGCGGGCCCGCTCCCGGAGCCCGGGTCGACCCGGCGGTGTTCCACCCGGGGCTGCGCCGCCGCCGCCGCCCAGCTGTTTTTGCGGCCGTCGCCGGCGGCGGTGTTGTTCCGAGCGTGGGACGGGGGGGGGGGGAGGGTGCCCGCGAAGGCCCGGTTTCCGACGGGAGCGGAGGGGGAGGCGACATCGCCCGACCGGCTCCGGCCGAGCATGCCCGTCACGCCACGCCAGGCCGCGCGTCCGCCCGCCACACTGCCGGGCCGACGGGCCAGCTCTGTGGGCAATCTGACCGCGGTCTACCTCGGCCGTTGGGCAGTCTGGCCATGATAACGATGTACCATCTGTATGGTTGTATAGAGCCCATATTACCGAGGAGTCTGGTAAGGGAGGGCTGCTTCGCCGGCTAGGAATGTTCGACGAGGGTCCGTTCCTCTGCTTCGTGAGCCCACCATCCCTTGAAACGCGGCCGGGAGAATACTAGGGCGTCTGTCTCAGGATCGCGAGATGGTGGTCCGATTCCACCGCAGGGACTTTGATCAGAAAGTGACAAAATTCTCTTTGAAAGACCATTGAAAATTATCGGCAAAAATGCATCTCGATCTACAACCTACGTTCAAGATGCCCACTATCTCCGCAGACCCTAGAAAAATTCTGACATAGCCTCTCACTGCTATTATTTCAGAACAAACACCCTGAAACATTTAAAACGAATAGCGCCGGTCGTTTATTCCATGTAGTCAGTTAATGCCTGCTTTCCTCAGCTTTTTTACCTAAAAAAAACAGAATTGCATTTCCCGGCCGCTTCCGGCTTCTGTTCCAATAAAATTACTGCAACAATGAAATACCGCCAGAAAAATCGTACCTCTTCGAAATCAAGCAGGCCACATCAGGTAATTTCTTGTGGGGGCCTTCAACCTTAAGGATTATTTTGTCAACCCTGTGCTCCCGCTTACATAAACTGGCCACGCCCCTCGCCTCCGCGTTAGCGATAGAAAACTTACAAAAACAGCTTCAGGCTAAATGTTTGGTAATTCCCAGCGTGCTGTTTTGGTTCATTTCTTTCCTTTCACGAGCTTTTCTTTTCCCACGGAATTTTCCCTTCGTGACAATTCAACAAAGAACTGATCAAACACTGGCCAAATTGGTTTATCAGTACCAGGGAAGCACCACACGGCCATACTTTATTGATGGTAGCGTTTTCGTGCTTAGTATTAAGGCCAAAGACACAGCGCAAAAATAGCAACAATTCATGTGTTCGAGGTGTGTTAAGGTTAAACGCGTGTTTTTCGGGATCGAATTTCCTGTTCATTCTATAACACAGTCAGAGTACAGGGATTGTTTGGCAGATTCATTCAACCCAAGCAATACTGGATGTTATAATCCGACGTACTCTTGCTCCAGGCGACCCAAACGAAGCATATGGTCATACCCGACCTCCCTGCACGCATACGCCTCCCGATATCTCTTACCAGGCAGGCTCTGATGGGCTCACCCTCCGGGCACGCGCAACGCACCGCGCCCACCGCACCCCCTCCCCCCCGCCACGCTGACGCAGCTTGGCCCAAAGCTGCAACAGGCTCACGTTAATGGAATGCAAGCAACAACTCGGCATGAGCTACGCTGCGGGGATTTTGAGGCCTCTCAACAGCACGGCTCTGAGGAGCTCTTACAGCACGGCTCTGAGGGCCTCTTACAGCACGGCTCTGAGGATCTCTGAACGGCACGGCCATGAGGACTTCTTAACAGCACGGCTCTGAGAACCTTTAAGCCCCAATGGCCACTTCGTCCTTGTTACGCAGAGACAATGCATTTTTAGACGTTGATGTCCTTGGGGCTTTACGGCGCCAGTTCGCCCCCCGCGCCCTTCCCCCTTAAAACAAGGAATCAAAATAAAAAAAACAACAAACGAGAGGGGGTGTTAGAGCAGAGATTCTGACAGGAACGGACTTACATCCACCAAGACAGACCTCGTCCCAGCCAAGGTAGAGTGGTAGGGAGCATCATGGCCCGCTCGAGATTCAACTGTCCGCTATCCGTGAAGTAAACGCGGCTGATCACCGCACGGACCCGGTCCCATCCGCAGCTGCACTGCACTGTGGTGCGACTGCGCAGGGAACTGGATCCGTGGGGTGAATGAGCTGCGACCGCAGCTGCACCACTGGTGCGGTCGCAGCTTATCACCCCACGGATCCAGTTTCCTGCGCAGTCGCACCACTGGTGCGGTCGCAGCTGATCAGCCCATGGACCCGGTTCCCAGAGCAGCTGCACCACTGGTGCGGTCGCAGCTGATCACCGCACGGGCCCGGTTCCCAGCGCAGCTGCACCACTGGTGCAGTCGCAGCTGCTGCGCTGCTCACACCGTTCTCGGCGTCGGTGCCACTCAGGCGGCTCGTCTCGCCCCAGGCGGCCGATGCGTGCCAGGCCTGTGCTACCGAACGCTTAGCGCAAAGCTGGGAGCGGACGCATCTCGGTCCGCGCTACAGAATTGTCCCGTCGGGCGGCCGACTGCCCGATGAGGCCATTACGTCGTCGGTGTTCGCTGCCCCGACGCCGAACATGCCCGGTGGACTGGCGCCGGGCCGCCGCCCTCCAGCACCGACGGCTCTGTCGGGGGACACGGCCCGGTCCAGTCCGGCACACACGCCCGGAGGCCGCCGCTCTCCAGTACAGACGGCTCTGTCGGGGGACACGGCCCGGTCCAGTCCGGCACACACGCCCGGAGGCCGCCGCTCTCCAGTACAGACGGCTCTGTCGGGGGACACGGCCCGGTCCAGTCCGGCACACACGCCCGGAGGCCGCCGCTCTCCAGCACAGACGGCTCTGTCGGGGGACACGGCCCGGTCCAGTCCGGCACACACGCCCGGACGCCGCCGCTCTCCAGCACAGACGGCTCTGTCGGGGGACTGTCTGTTTGTCGAGTCAGCTCATCCAGGCCAGGTCAAGCCAGCCAGGTCCACCCTGAACATGTGTCGCCAAATTTGGCTATTTGAAATTTTCACGATTTAAGCCTTAGTGGCAGCTATCTTACGGCTTTAGGTCTTCCTAACGGTGTTCTCACTGGTATGGCTTGTTTGGTTTCGATATAGCCGGGAGAACTATTGAAGTAATCTCATTTCGCCGATTTGACCTGACACAGCATATCACAGGTCAAATGTATCGATACTCACCAGAGCTTATTGAACAGCTATCCAAGACTATTCAACACGGTCTTCTTCATTGCCGTGATGTGGTTAGCTCTTGAGATAACAGGAAGGGTCTATAAGATGCTGATTTAACCACTCTGACCTGATTTAAACTTCCAAGGCCAGAATCAATATTGTTCAGCCGCTCAAACTATCGGAAAGAAGTCTGACGGGAGCTTTCCAACGCCGTTTTTAGCATAAGCCTAGCTTGCTTGCTCCTAGAGCTCTTAAGGAGGGGGGGGGGGGGGCGAGCGCTCTGGGGCCTCTTGCAATGCGGCGATGAAAAACTCCCGCTGGGTGAGGTTGGAGCGACAGATTACCCCGAGATTATTACGTCAACAGATTACCCCGAGTAAACGGCCACCGCCACGCCGTTCCACATTGTTCGCGATGGGCAGCTGACGAATATACGCAGCCCGGGACGTGCCACGCGGCTGCTTAGTCCAGGGGCGATCACAAAAAGCAGAAGCAGACAGAAGAACGACTGGGGCCGGACGTGAGACGGTTCGGCGGGTGGGGAAAGGGGGGAGGGAGAACCACTGTACGAGCACCGCTGAACGGGACGGCACGGGGGGGGGGGGGGGCGTGAGGCAACGTCACATCCACCGACGAAGAGACGGCACGGGCGGAGGCGGGATCACGACACCGAAGCGAAGGACGGGACCGCCGGCCACGGGTCGCGGAGCGGACCAGCACGTGCAGAGGAGCCGCCGCTACAATGCTAGTACTACCCCGCTACCGACGCTCCCAGCTACGGACAACGGGCCGGAGCGGCGAGCCCGTTTACCTGCGACTGTAGAGGATCGTCTGACCCGACGACGGACTAAAAAGGGCAGAGGAGGGCGTCAGTCGTGCGCGCTTTCTCCGTGACACAGGCAAACACGCGCCGCCGCCGCAAGCGGCTCGCCACCGCACAGCTCACACGTCTCAGCTCAACGGCGGGAGTTAATGGCACTCGGTTACAAGGCACGCCGGCGATGGCCGAGGTCGCTCTGGCGCACGAGGCGCCGCGCTCGTCCGGTGTTAGACGCACAGGCTATTGCGCCCCGGCACGGCGGCGGCGCCGGCGCAGCTCGGGGTCACTGACCTCTGAGTGTAGACGCCGACGTCAGCCTTCATGGCCGAGACGTCGACAATGGAGCCGGCCGGCGCGTGCTGCACTGTGCCCGCCTCGGCCGGCGCGAACGTCACCTGGGTCGAGCCGCCGCCCAGGTCGAACACGGCCACGGACCGGCCCGGGTCACCACCCAGCCGGTCTGGGGAGGTCAGGGCAGACGCCGGGTAGGTCAGGTCAGACGGCGGCTAAGGCCAGACAGCGAGTCGGTCAGATCGGGCGGCGAGCAGGTCGGGTCACGCGGTGGCGATGGCAGGTCAGACGGTGGCAAGGTCAGGTCAGACGGTGGCGAGGTCAGGTCAGACAATACCGGTGGGTAGGTCACACGGCCACAGAGCCGGCCAAGTCACCGCCCACCCGGTCTCAGAGAGGTCGGGACAGATGGAGACAACAGGGCCACAGCGGCAGCGGAGGGTTCGCCGCTACCAGTCGCCGGCGAACTCAACAGTCTTGCACTGCAACACTGTCACGGATCATACTGACATGGCTGCCGACCAAGGGTTTAGTCGACACGGACGCGACGAGTCTCAAGCCATCCACGACGTGACCAATCAGCGCCTCTGACGACACGTGACAGCCGGCCGAGCTAGCCGCGCACCGCGTACCGAGCAGAAAGTTGACGGTGAACCACGAGAAGAGCCCCTCGTCGGTACCGGACATGATGGCCACGGCGTCGGGCCGCACCAGGAAGCCGCTGCGCGCGGCCTCGGCGCGCGCCGTCTGCAGCAGGGCCTCGGCGCGCTGCTCCGGCAGCAGTCGCAGGCCGGCCGTGGCGCGCAGGATCAGCGGCGTGTGCGCCACGTCCGCCGCAGGCACGAACTGGCGCGCCGCCGCCAGCAGCTCGCGCAGGGGAGCGCCCGCCTGCCGCGCGCAAGGAGAGGAGCGGTGTGGACCGCGTCAGGCCGGGCGCGGCACGGACGGACGCTGTGGGCGGGACGCGGGGAACCCGGGCGGAGCCGGCCGCACTCCACTGATCACCGATCCCGTGTCGGCCAAGCCGGGCACCTGGCATGGGTAACAGAGCAAAACTGACAGACACGTGTGCCCGGACTCCGCAGGAATTAGGGGAAACGGAAATACGCCCTTCCATATAATACAATACGATATTAAATCAACGGCGATGGCGTAACAGGACAGGCATCTGCGTCAGTGCGTCAGCGCTTCACACAAATAATGACAGCAAGCGCCGAAACGCAACAATTACGCACATCAAGGTGACCGCGGCAGGGCTGGACAGCGCTCTAACGTCACGTCAACATCCCGCGCCACTGAACTAGATCCTGCCGCCCGCGACGATCAATGGTCGGGGCCCACTCGACCGCTGTTCGTCTGCCACGCGTGACGGGGACAGGACGCCAACTGCGGCATCCTGCCCGCGCGTGCCGTGGTGACGTGCGGCGCGCCTGTGCCAGAGCGGCGCGCCACGAGGTTCGCAGCCGCCACGGCGTCCCCTGCCGCGCTATCGCTGCGGTGGCCGCGCCCGCCGGCTCAGCGCACGACCGGAGCAGCGCTGGTAGGAGCCTAACAAGTGGCCGGTCACAGCCATCGTACGACAGGCAGGCGCTCTGCTAATTATAACACTGGCCGCTCGACACGCTCAGCTTCGCGAACGAAGATAAATCAATTTCAGAGGCGAGCGAAGCAACATCATAGAGTTCGAGGCAAAACTTAAAAGATGTGGCTCTTTATGAGATGTTTTTGTGAGAGAACAGCCTATCAGGAGCGAGCCGCTCACACAATCCGCTAGCCATCAGTAGAACCCACTAATCGCCACCTGCGGTTCACCGGCGTACCGAGCTACCTGGATGTCTGAGTCGGTAGCCGAGCGTCTCGCACTCACCGCCTCTGGGTCTTTGACGTAGGAAGACAGGCCAGGCTTCAGCTCTTTGAACATCTCCTTGTCCAGCTTCAGGCTACCGTCTACCGGGGCAGGTGACAGAGGACTCAGCGTACAGTTAACATCCACTCATTACACATGCATCGCATACGGAATGGGCAAAACCAGCGCCGTAAGGACAAAACACCGACACTGGAGAAGACATCACAGCGGCCATCATGAAATGTCCGCTACAGAACAAAGTAGAAGAAACGAAAGCCCGCCGTTAGAGGACTGTGTCAAGTATTCTGACATGCCAAATGACAAGTCGCTACCCGTCGACAAACCCGAGCTTACAATACAAATATCAAGTGTGCCGAGCGAGAGCCCTCACCGATCTTGCTCTTGTGGAAGGTGAAGGCAAGAACGCGCGTGCCAGTGCTGCCAGCGTCTATGACCACGGCGTGCACCTCCTCCTGCATGCCCAGCTGCGTGGCCAGCGCGTCCAGCATGTTCGTGCCGTGGCTCATCCGCCAAGGCAGCGTGTTGTTGTATGACACTGGGGACGGCGAAGCGGGACTATAGCTGCCGCGGCCGCATGTTGTAATAGAATGTACACGTACATGGTACAGGGCTATTTTCGCCACGTCACTGTGTTGTTATGTAACAATAGATATGGACAAGAGGCAGGGATTTATTCGCCTGGGCAGTATGTCGAGTACCGAAGCAGGTGGCAACGTTCGCAGGGGCGGCAGGTTACACAACAAGTTATGCAACACAGAGAACGGACACGAGAGCGGGTTACGCCCCCCCCCCCCCCCCCCACGACAGCACGTTGCTGCACGACGCTAGGCACAGACATGGGGCAGGTATATCCAACACCGACATATGTTGGGCGTGATGCTGAAACCCACTCCATACAGGAATACTATCATCAAACCAGTCTTTCTTGTACGCTGAAGTGGGAGGCACTACCTGAGAACCCACATCCGGACATAACACAATTTCGCCTACCACGCTTCCCTGCATCACCACACAGGTCGAATGTCAGTGTTACGGACATGGACGGCCGTAGCATGATTTCAGCTACAAAGTGCAGGAATGTGGACCATCTCACATTGGTCACATACTGCCTTCTTGTTAACACAAACCCTTTATATTGTACTATTAGTCAATGATTCCAAAACAGGTACAGATACATTGTCAATCAACTCTGCTTGGCTTACATGAGACTAGGACGAACAGCAGTACCACCGTCAAAAAGATTGTCAGATTCTTCACCATGTTTAGAGCCGAAGAGGGACGGCCGCTCACGACCGCGCGCCCTGGCGACGAGGGACCTCCGTTCTGAAACGCAACAATAGCAGTCACAAGATGGCCACAAGTCATGCTGCTCTCAATGCTCAGTTGGTTTGAGTGCTGGATGCCTGATCACTAGGATGGCAGACTATGTGGGTTTGTATCCCAGACTGGCTCCATCATTTGCTAGGTTTGTGAAAGATGGCCAACTGACAATTGACCATGGGTGCACCCAGTCAACACAAGGCAACCATAACACAGTGCGTGCGTGTTAAAAGCTAATGGGCAGTGCCTCATTCTCTCTGAAATTGTGCAAGAAGGGCACTGGATGACATCACAACCAACTGCACCTCAAAACAAAGCTATTCAGTCAAGTGCCATGAAGACAGTCTTCACAAAAAACAAATATTTACAATGCTGTTCTATGAGAAAAACAATTCTAAAACTTACCCTCCTTTTTCGAACATTGTTGCTGGCCATGTTGCACGTGCCTCTTTAAGACTACGAGCAAAACTGGAACAAAACAAAAACATCACAACAATGGAGATCAATCAAGTGTGAATTTTACTTGAGCCAAAGGACAAATTTTGATATTGGCAATCCAGACCAACCCGAAAGTTATCTTCTATTATATCAATTGTACTGACTGATTGCAGCAGATTTGAGCATTTCAACCAAGTGAAAAATATGCCACACCTATGCCACAACATTTTTAGGGGATCAGAATGCAACTTGTTTGAGCAGGATGGGTTTACCAGTAACATTGTGATCTGACAAACAATGATACCCCATTTAATTATCACAGCAAAGCCCTAGCTTTGCAAATTACTGGAATAATTTCTATGTCTTAAAAGACTGAACACAGACTTTTACCACCTGGGTTTACCCACAGGGATGGACACAGTATGGCTGAGCAGAGTTCTGAACTGAGCCTGGCCAAGGACATGAAGGAGCACCTGATGGCTTTTTCAGATAACACAGCAACAGCAAACTTGGTCTCTGGTCTCTTCAGATGCCTGCCAGTTGTGTTGGTCCCATGATGACATCAGTAATGTCATGGATAGTAATTTGCCATCATAGCAGATGATGAGATGAAATGATGTCATGTTTCTTTTCGCTGAAAAAATAGCTAAGGCAATGTTAATCTCAAATATCAGCCAATAAAATCATAAGTACTGAATGCATATGAATATGCCTTTAGATTGAGCCCCACACCAAAAAGTGGCTGGGTAATAATACCATGCTTTATTTTTCATGGTAATGTTTATTTCTTAGACATAATCATTAAGCTTGAACTGATCCCTTCTTTAATCTCCCCTTGAGATGGCATTTGGTACCCTAAATAATAACATTTTACACTCCCATTTGGCACATCTGGCCTGAGAAATGGTCACCATTGCTGATCTGAATCTATTGCCATTTTGCAAGAGACTGAACAGCACACTATCTATTTAATTACACTGTCTACCTGCAGGGAACTGATGGGGTCAGCATATGCACATTGCTGTGTCATTGATATTAAGAGGCTGCAGCATCTGCAAATAGTCCCAAAAGTTAACTTGCTTTTTATGTGTCAATTCAGCTCAAAGCATAAATGTAAACATCACCCCATAACTCACGAACCTACTGACATAATGAGAAGATAGACATCAAACCAGACACGTGTCCTGAGAGAAATACAAGAAGTTGGTGGGATATACAGGCAAGGGCTGTAGACTGTGGGTATAAAGGTTCTTGGATAAGAGCTACAATGGCTGCATTTGCTTGTTTCATGCCACTCGGCACAATGGTTGCTCTCAACTTTACAGTCTTGGAGGGAGGGAATTTAACAGAAAGGTACAAAACCATGGAGGAGGAAATGCAGTCCCCCAATTTGACCGTTCATTGACCTTTGGCAACAGCTATTTCGCACAACAGTAATTCATGCACCTATTTACCGCCTCCACACCGCACACCACGATTCGCGACACCCCCTGCGTTATGCTAGATACTAAGTACAATAATACGATCAACACTTACTAGACACGTAGAAATCTCAAGTTGTCGCAGCTGCGCCAATATCCCTCCTATCGTGAAAGCCAATGAGCGCCCGGTGCATGTGTGTTTCCAAGTCGCTAGAGACTTTTTGCCTAGATTTCTATGAGTATTTGGTGGCATCATGCCCAGTCCTCCAGGGCGGGCTGCGGTACTGGGGCCTTGGCGATGGTGGCAGATTCAAGGTGGTGGCGGGTGGAGCGATTGTCGGACTGTGCATGTTTTCTGATCCCTCTGCATTATTTCAGCTCCAGATGCCGATCTCTATCAAACACGTTGAATGTCATTTTCATGTGCCACAAACCCGGTGGCTACCCTGTACCGCCATGCAGCCAGTGAAGAGACGGCCGTGGAAAGCGGAGCCCCAGAGCAGAGCTGCGGAAAACGGAGCCCCAGAGCAGAGCTGCGGAAAACGGAGCCCAGAGCAGAGCTGCGGCAAGTGGAGCTCCAGAGCAGGGCTGTGGAAAGCGGAGCCCTAGAGCGGGGCTGCGGAAAGTGGAGCCCCAGAGCAGAGCTGCGGAAAACGGAGCCCCGGAGCAGAGCTTCGGAAAACGGAGCTCCAGAGCAGAACTGCGGAAAACGGAGCCCCAGAGCAGGGCTGCGGAAAGCGGAGCCTCAGAGCAGGGCTGCGGAAAACGGAGCCCCAGAGCAGGGCTGCGGAAAGTGGAGCCCCAGAGCAGGGCTGTGGAAAGCGGAGCTTCAGAACAAATGTAAGGTGCCTCCATAGCAGGCGCGCAGCTAGAGTCTTGGCGAGGGAGCGGTGAGCACCGAGTTAAAGAAAGTCCCCTGGAGGTGAAAGACCCCCAAAAGACATCACTGGATGTGGCCCATTTGTTGATATATTTTTGTATGATGTTCTTTTTTCCTTCTGGAACTGGAATAAAAGCCAAAAGCTACCGCCAGATAAAGAATACACAAATGCTGTAACCAATAAGGCGAAGAGAGTATGTCTTGGCTAATTCCATGAAATAAGCTTACAGCGCTCTCCATTTTACAATGGTCCAGCGGGCTGTTGAAAACCGATAGAACTCAGAAGCTTCGTCATAATGTAATAAAATAATACATCTGAAAGGAGAATCTTTGAACGCTTTAGGACATCAAATCATACTCTAATCAGGTAGTTCTGGCGTTGGTTTTACTGGCTTTAGATCGAGGGTAATAACGGATTGGTCTTGTACTAGAATGTGGTGGTGAAATTGGAGAAGTAAAGTTAGAGCTCTATTTTTCGTGCTACTGTGACTGTTTATCTGCCCAGACGGCAACCTCAAAGTTGAAAAAGATAAGCCCAGTCTAATATTTGAAAGGCACGAGTTCGGTTTTAAACTGTCATTCTTTCACGACGGTCGTTCTCGCGTGCGCGGCGCCTGCCGTTTGGTGTTGCTTACAGTTGCAAACACCGTTCAATTATACAGGAGCTGCAACCCTGACCATCGCTGTCCCTGCTCCCAATATTTCGGGCCTGCAGGCCCAAACTTTTTTATGTAATTTGTTTTCCTAATCCATGCTGCTAGATAATGCACGTTCTTATGCAAATATGAAATGACTTTGTTCGTTTTTGACTCATTTCAATTCACTCTACTTAACACTTATGAGTCTCCCTATTTCTTTAAGGGCAATGATCCCCTAAGTAGAATTCTAGGAGGCACATGCTGTTCCCGGCCAAGGTCTGAAGAATTATTCCGTTCCACCGCGGGTTACCTTCCGGCTGCCATTATAGCGACGTGGGCGGGATAACCTGGTGACCCAGAGGACCTTAGAGGGATATATCATGTTCTATTGGTCCCCTTCCTGGCACAGAAGTCCTGACCTGCGCAGAGATATTTATGATCACCGTAGGTACTTCAAAAATTGGACCATAAACTTCAATTCGGCCCCACGGGCCCACGCTGGAATTGCGTTTGAGGACCCACCGTTCGGTTCTGGAGGTTAGGACTGGCACAGAGCTCTTCCATTGCCTCAATGTGAACACTCGTCAAAAGTTGGCGTGTTTCATCTTATTGCTGGAGGGCCCCGACGAACGCAAGAGCTCCTCTGGCATTTGGGGTCCCGTCCCTGTCCCTGTTGAGCAAATGTTCCCGTGACCAGCTCGAGGTCCCTGGTTTACACGGTCGCCCCGTTACGCACTGGGCCCCTGACTGATACAGGAGCCCCGCATTGCTGCAGGGGCCCAGAGCAATGCAAATCTCTGGCCCGGCCTTATCCTGCTTGGGAAATAGGCCCAAGAGCTTAGACCGACACGAAGCCGACTATCTGGTGTTGGCGATTTCGGCCGAAATAGAGGAACACTCTTTTTCGGGTGTTCCCAATCGGAACACGAATAATTCTAACTGACATTTGAGATCACAGACCCACGGCGAATGGCCTACAGCCTGCCTGCTTTCCAATCGAGCCCTTAATGTGTGGTCTCGAGAGACCCCTCGGACGCTCTTCAGGCCCCCTTAAACACTGCTCCTGGCCGACTCGGGGCCAATTGCCGTCACAGGACACATGTTAGGCACTGTGGCCCCTGACAGACGCAGGAACTCCCCGTTGTGTCGGGACCCCAAACATTGTAAATCACGGGCCCTGGTCTCGTTCCCACCTAATAAAAGCCCTCGGACTGATATTTCGGGTCACGGCACTACCAATGGGTACCGCGTCCGTTTCCAATCGGGCTCTTCGGGCCCCTCTCCGGATCCGCGCGAACATGGGTCGTGGCGACTAAGGTCACTTGCCGACACAGGACCCCCTGTTAGGCACCCTAGGCCCCGTGACCTACACCCTCATGGTTTCAGTGACCCCAACTAATGCAAATCGTGGACTTGACCCTGCTCGCGCTTGTAAAATGGACCACCAGGGCTGCGACGGACAGGTGCCGACTGCGCTGTGTCGGTGGTCTGGCCGAAACAGAGGTCCGCACTGTCCCAGGGGTTCCCAGTCGATGCCAAGAGCTCTCTGAACGCCATTTGAGGTCACGGTCTTACGGGTGGGTGGGCATCCTACATGGGATCTTCGGGCCCGTGATCTCCAATTAAGAGAACAATAGGCGTTCCAAGCGGGCTCTTGATCATTGGTCCCGAGGGGCCCGTAGGCCCCTCTTAGCACCTCCTCAAGCAAAGCCCGTGACCGACTCGGGCTATTAGCCGACACCTGACCCCCTATTAGGCACTGTGGGCCGCTGACCGACACGGGGATTCCAACCGTTTCAGGGATGCAGACCAATGCAAATCGTGACCCCGGCCTTGCTCCTGTTTTGGAAATGTCCCCCCCCCCCGGCTCAGACTTCATACTGATAGAGAGCCAGCTGTTCGGCATTAGTGGTCTCTAGCCGACTGAGACGCCTACATTATCTTAAGTGCTCCTCACACGCTGCAGGGCGATCTCTACCCCATACTGATAGAGCCAACCGTTCGGTATTAGTGGCCTCTAGCCGACTGAGACACCCGCATTGTCTCAAGTGCTCCTCAAACGCTGCAGGGGGATCTCTGACTGATATTTCAGGCCACGGCCCTACGGTCTGAGATTCTGTACGAAATGCACAGCCCGTCCTACGGATCATTATGTTCTCCAACCGAGCACTTGACTGTGCGGTACTGGGGGTGCCTGACGGCCATATAGGTCTTATCTTTTAGGCCCTTATCGACAAAGGTGATCCCCGATCGGCGCAAAACGTGCTCTGTCATTCCAGGGCCCATCTCTGCCGGCCGACTACCCTTAAGCCTTCTGGTTGGGCCCTTGATCGCCGGCCCCGGTAGGCGCCCGGCCTCCGGCTGACTAGCGGCCCCTTGCCGATACAGTACCCCCTGTTACATGCTGTGGGTCCCTGACGGACGCCGAGGCCTCAACCAATGTAAATCGCTGGCTCCTGCTTTCCCGTGCTTGGGGAATGGGCCCTCAGGCTCATGCCGACACGGGGACGATTATGTGTTATTGGTGATGCCTGACCGACCTTATGCTTACCGTCTTATCCTTACCATACCTTATCTTTTAGGCCCTCATCGACTCAGTGGGCATCTGATCAGCGTGTAGGGCCCTTTTTAGCCCCGTTTTGGTCCAAAAAACTTCGTTGCATAATTTCTGTTGCTTTCCAAAATTTATCCCTGTGTGACATTTGTGCTTTTCCTGACGTCGAAAAAACGGTTATATAAGGTATACGGTTTGTGCGTACAGCATGGTCTCGCATTTAGTAGCATCATTCACACAAAGCTGGTAGCAATTTGGTAGCATTGCTGGTGAATTTTATCTAGAACTTCCAAGTTTATCCTGAGATATTTCGTTGGCAAAAGTCTTCAGCGACTTGGAAAAAAATATACCCGAGCGCCCGGGAAGAGAAAGTCTGTCAAGTTGTCACCAGACTCACCTTCAGATGCCTTTGGGAACAATTACAAGTCCTTTCCAGTGGCGAGCAAATAAGAAGGGCTTAATCGCACCCGTGAAATTTATCAGGGTGTGAGGCGCCAAAATTCGCTGACGATATGAAATTTGCAGGGGTGTCGAAAAATACCGACCAAGCAAACCAACTTCAACTTGATTTAGAGAAATTAGAAAACTGGGCTTCTCTGTAGCAGATGTTATTCAGTTACGATAAGGGTGAGGTGATGCGATTCGGTAGTTCGGGCAGTGGGGGCAAAAGCTATAAAACTGGAGACTGGGAGTAAGCCAGATCGGAGAAGAAAAGGACTTGCGGGTTATAATTCCTAAGGACTTAAAAAATGAGAAAACAATGTGGCCCTGCCAGGAGCAAGGCATTTCCGATGCTGGGACTTATTACCAGGAATATCCATTACAAGAATGGGAATGCTAAAAAGCTGTAGTTAGCTTATGTCAGACCTCACCTAGCACATAGTGTACAGGCTTG